CTCAAGGAGAGATGTATTCCACGGAGTTTGTCAGAGGTCTTCATAGATCTAAGATCCCTACCTAAACAAGCCTCGAAAAAGTCTAGTGCCCACAAAAGAGTTTGTCATATTTTCTAAAGGGAAAAAGACACTAAAAGGAAGAAGAATTTAATCCCAACCTGGAAGATATAGTCGCTGAACATATTAATCACTTTATCAAGTCTAAGGAAGCCATCCTTTTTGACAATGGCGGGCCAGTTTACTCGACTGGATGCCGATTAAGCGATACATGAGTTTCACTAACTTTGTATCCCCAGCTAGCCCCTCACACTATTAATAAGAAATATTCAAGATATTCCATTTATTATGTACAGTACAAGTATATTTTGAAAATGATTGTGGACCAGAGTTTAACATTTACACATTACATGCCATATTTACAACCAAGGATCAAGAGTTAAAGTTAGAAGTTAACCAATATGTATTCATGTACTAAAAGTAAAGTAAATGGTAATTGGTTAACTTGTAACTGTAAGTCTTGTTCCTTGGAGGTGAATATGTACACAACAGTTGTAGTTTTAGATTCTCAAATAATATACAGTAGAGCGTCGTTTATCCGAAAGCTGGTTATCCGAAACGTCCGTTATCTGAAAGCATTCCAGTCGGCAAATTTAAATTTTTGCTAGTGCTGTGGCGCTGCAATCTTCGGCTATTTCTCAGGCTACTCAAATATTTTACGTTTTTGATACTAAATTAACATCTGAAGTATAATTTTTTTTTTATATTTTTCAATAAATTTATTTTGTTTGTACAAAATAAAAAAATAATTTTTAACGATACAATAGTCTTCGTTAGGCTTAACATCGACGAAAATTCAATGCAAAGCGACACGCAACGGAGAAAAATTTCAACATGGGATAAATTAATATATTTTTTCGTACATGATTCGTTACCCGAAAAATAAGTTATCCGAACCACTCCAGTCCCCAATTGATTCGGATAAACGATGCTCTACTGTATTTCTATTCTGTCAGGTGTTTTAAAACAAATATTTGGAAACAAATAAAACAAAATTTGTTTCCAAAAGTCTTTAATCTTGTTCCTGGTTTTTTTTATCATTATGGATTTTAATTAATTTCAAACATTAGTTTCTAGTGGTAGTAATGTGTAACTGCTATATCTGAGACAATCAACTGTTCAAAGTTTCAAAGTTCAGAAATCATATGTTAATGACAGACAATTTGACTGACTGACAAGTTTGTTAGGTTAATGTATATTGTTGGAACATACCACATATATATTGCTTCATTGTCTTCATATAAATCTGTTACTTAAAATTTAAAAGTAATAATTTGTAAATTAAGTTTAAGTTTTCTTCATTCATGCATGCACTATAACATTATCTTTTACAATTGTTCTAGTCATATACAATACACACTCTATATAAGCAATACATGACCAGACAGAAAGCATCAAACATTTACATATACTGTATATTGATTTGTAGAAGGTTCTGGAGTAATTATCTCATGAAATGATAATTTATACAATAAAAAAATTTAAAAGTTTGTATTGTTTACATGTAAATAATAAAGTATGTAAATTGATTAAATTGTAATATAATAATAATAATAATTACACATGTACAAAATATATCCATCACTCATTGCATTCTTCAAAAACACTATGCAGCACTGGAGAACAATACTACATCTTAGGGTTAGTAACACTTTCATACAAACAAACGAAATATTTATTAGGCGAGGAATTTTTCGAGGAGATTCCTTGAGTCCTCTCTGGTTCTGCCTAGCCTTGAACCCATTATCCAACATGTTAAACAACATGCAATATGGTTACAATATCAGATATGAAAAAACAACACAGTTTACGCTGTCACATCTCATATACATGGATGACATAAAACTTTATGCATCCACACAAAAACAACTTCAGCAGCTTCTACAAATCACACATTCATACACCAAGGACATACAAATGGAGTTTGGCTTAGACAAATGCAAAACACTTCACATAGAAAAAGGAATCCTGAAGAAAGAAGATTTTGCACTTGGAAATGGGGACATTATTGAATCCATGGAAGAGGGCGAGTTCTACAAGTACTTAGGATTCCAACAGGCAAAACTAACAGAACATACACAAATAAAGCAAAGATTAATTAAAGAATACCAAAGTAGGTTAAATGCCATTCTCAAAACACAGTTAAATGCAAAACACACAGTTAAAGCAATAAACACATATGTCATCCCAGTACTCACATACTCTTTTGGAGTTATACATTGGACTCACACAGATCTCGAGCAACTCCAAAGGAAAACAAGAACAACACTTACTAAGCATAAACAACATCATCCTAAATCCGCCACAGAAAGATTAACCCTTCCACGTAAAGAAGGCGGACGTGGCCTGATTGACATAGTTAACCTTCACTACAAACAAATACAGTCACTGCGAGAGTTTTTCTACAAGAAACAAGAAACATCACAGTTACATAAAGCAGTAACTCTAGCAGACTCAAATAACACACCATTAAACTTACACTCACAACATACAGACATGACACAACATATAAAAAGCATAGACAACATTAAGCAATCATGGGCTCAAAAGGCTCTCCATGGCAGGCATCCTTACGACCTGGCCCAGGATTTTGTTGACAAAACTGCGTCAAACAGCTGGTTAGATCGGGGATGCCTCTTTGGGGAGACGGAAGGATTCATGATTGCCATACAGGATCAGGTCATAAATACTAAAAACTACAGAAAACACATACTCAAAGATACAACACTCACAAATGACACATGCAGAAAATGTCACATCATGCCAGAAACTATACAACACATCACTTCTGGTTGCAAGCTCTTGGCACAGACAGATTACTTACATAGACACAATCAAGTAGCAAATATAATACACCAAGAGCTTGCAAAGAAACACAAATTGGCAGACATCCACGAACCATACTACAAGTATATTCCACAGACAGTATTGGAAAATAACACGCACAAAATGTATTACGACAGAGCCATAATCACAGATAAAACAATTTACCACAACAGACCAGACATCACACTCATTGACAAACACAATAAAATCACATACATTATAGACATAGCCATTCCAAACACTCACAATGTACAAAACACATGCACTGAAAAAGTTAGCAAGTACACAGAACTCGTTCAGAAAGTAAGGCATCTATGGAGAATGGATAGGGTACTTATTGTACCTGTCGTTCTCTCCTGTACAGGTGTGATACCACACACACTACACAAAAGTCTGGGAATATTACAATTGAATAGAAATACAGTAGAGCGTCAATTATCTGAAAGAATTCCAGTCGTCAAATTTAAATTTTCGTCAGTGCTGTGGCGCTGTAATCTTTGGCTATGTCTTGGCTACTTAGCTATGTAATCTTTGGCTACTCAAATATTTTACGTTTTTGATACTAAATTAACTTCTGAAGTATAATTTTTTTTTTATATTTTTCAATATATTTATTTTGTTTGTACAAAATAAAAAAATAATTTTTAACGATACAATAGTCTTCGTTAGGCTTAACATCGATGAAAATTCAACACGAGGTGACACGCAATGGAGAAAACTTTCAACATGCGATAGGTTAATATATTTTTTCGTACATAATCGGTTATCCGAAATATTGATTATTTTTTTCCGAACAACCCCAGTCCCCAATTGATTCGGATAATCGACGCCCTACTGTACATACATTACACTACAGAAGGCCACTACAGTGGGTGATCGGTTAACGAACATAATCCGTTCCAAGACTTTGTTCGCTATCCGAATTGTTCGTTAACCGATTATCGATTTACCATAGGTTTCTATGGGAATTTGATTGATTCGTTCTGGAGACCCCCAAAAATAAAAAAATATATACTTTCTTACTATGTTTATTCATATGTAATAATAAAAATACATATATACACGGTCTTGCATTTTTATTAGTCATGTTTTTTCTGTTTGTGGGGGTTAAAGAATCTATCCAATGTCGATTGCTTTTCTGTCTTATTCATGATTTTTCAGAAGTAATTAATAGCATTGTAATTGTAGAGATCCCTAGGCCTATTAACCTCAACCTGGTTTGGATGCCATTTTAAGACCGTTGTTCTGACATCCTCCCACTTCTTCAAAAGATCTTTAATAGCAGATGTCGGCATAAATCTGCATTTTCAGAAGAAAACGTAAAAGAATTGTTTCTGTCAGAAATATAAAAGGCCGGAATTACAAGGGAGAGTTTCAAAGTTCGGGGGGAATACTATCCGATCAGTATATACTGGGTTGAACGTCGATGTCGACGTCTCTTGCGCTCCGAAAAGTTTTGAATTGTTGCCTGAAGACAAAGGAAGACCAATCGGTATTCGTTATTTTACGTCGCTTCTTCTTGTGTTTGTTCAGTGAAGTGTTCGTTATCCGAACATGTGTTCGTTGTCCGATCATAAAAATCTTTCGAGAAAGTGTTCGTTAACCGATCACCCACTGTATATTGAATACATGTCATATTGTTAGGAAATTCCTGAATACAGACACACTGACACACTTATTTAATTTTCGTTTTGTTTTGGTTACTATGCCTTGACTCTGGTCCAGCATAGTACACAGCCACTGGTGTCAACTGAGTATAACCCACTAAACCCAACATAATAATAATAATAATAATAATTTTAATTAAAATAAATAAAATAGTGGTAATATTAAAAGTAACAGGATGCATTGTTTTTGTTTGTTCTCCCAGAAATTTAAAATTTTAGCATTGATAGTATCAATTCAAACTGCTTTTCTTGGATTGTATCCCATCATCAGGAGTTAGATAAATTCTCTCTGGAAAATACTTTTAGCACTTTTGGACTAGTTTTCCAAACAGACTTTCTCTTGTTAACTCATGATAATGAATATATAACCCAAAAGAAGCAGTTTAAATTAAGATTTAAATTTAAAAGCTTCCTTATAAACACATTTAAATAATTTTTTGATTATTTTAGAATTTCAAATAAAACTATTCAGAGTAATCTAGGAAAACCAAAAGCATTAAAAGAAAATAATCAACCAATTCAGAAGACATCAAATATATTACCTATAATAGAACACATAACAGATGAAGAATTAAAATCTTTACCAAAGTAAAGTTTTAAACATAATTTTTAAACAAAATAACTAGTTTATAAATACTGTAATTAACTATATTAAATTAAAATTTACTTATTAATATATATTTTCAGATATATGAAAGGAAGATTAACTTGTAATGTCATAAATAATATTGTTGATAGCTTTAACAAAACTATTGCCGCAAAATATAAACTTTTAACCACACCACGTTGCCAACTTGGAACTCATGATATGGTTAAATTTAATAACTTTTTGAGTCAAGAATTAAATGAGACTAAAGGTAAGCAGCTTAAGAATTTAATATTATGATGATAAAATTATGTATTTTTATATTTTGATAAATAATTAGAAGTAAATTTTAAATTTAAGACATGGAACATGGAAATTATCTATATTAAATTCAAAATAATATAGTATAGAAACTATCTATTAATTAAGTGTACAATTTAAGAAAGGTGTGCAAAAACTACATCATTTTACATGATGGGGAAGCAGGGTGTCAAGGCATTGTTCATATAGACATTTTTAATGGTATTAGTGGCATATGAATTTGTTTTTATAAGGCTACTTACTAGTCATTTGAATAAACTATCAGAAGATATTTGCAGAACATTTTAGTCATTTCTTCAATGTTGAGGTCGAAAAACTATTGTAACATAAGTAAAGAGTAGGAATTTGTCAAAAGTACATCATTGTAGACAATAGGGGGGGAGGTAGAATGGGATTAAAATTAACTTGAAAATTGTATACTTAATTATGGACAGTCCCTTATCAATGCATCAGTTTGATATTTTTATACTTTTTTTACATTTAGGTCACTATTTCTGTGTGGATCAAGATCTTAAATATTTTGCTAATTTAACTATCAACAAAACATTGGCTTCAGTACTTATAATACTTCGTCACTGTAATCGTATTCATGACATCAGAAAAAATGGAGTTATTAGACATGTTTTAATTTAAAATTTGTTATTTTGTGTATTTAAAACAAATTCATAAAATTTATATTAAAAATATATTTTTGAAAAGTAATTTTTCACATAATACAGTAGACCCCCCTATAACGTGAGTTCCTATAACGTGGATTCCTATAATGCGGCGAAAAAATTGCGACAATATTCGTATAAAGACGCTAAAAGGGATGCGTAAAACGTCATCGCCAACTCGTCATCGCGGATGAGCAGCCAAACTACTTTCCACCGTCCAGCGCCACGCTACGGAGCGTTTAGGCGGGTAAATTGAGTTTACTATCGTCTGTACAGTATTATATATAAATTAGGTACTGTATATATAATTATATATTAACTTAATTTATAGTAACTTTATTATAATTATATGTATACTTTCCGCCGTCTAGCACCATGCTAACGGAGAGTTTAGGCGAGTAAGTTGAGTTTACTATTGTCTGTACAGTATGTAAATTAGATACCGTAAGTCTAATACAGCACTGTAATTTTATACATTTCTTGTGAAAGAAACATTTCTTATTCAACGACCATAAAAATTATTTATATTAATGATGTCTCCAAAGTTCGATGAAGTTTTCTCAGAAAAATAACATCAGAAATCACGGCCGCCGTTTGGTGCGCTGGTCCGCGACGAAAACAAGCTTAAGCAATGGCGACGTTGAACGGTGCACACTCGGTAAGTAATCCTACAATTTTTTGTTTATAGCATAGTTTATACAGATTATTCACAAAAAAATTATACGTGTTTTGGAAATGTTAAGTCGAATTAGTCTAGAATCAATTAATTTTATGGAAGAAAACCTTTCAAACAGCTGTAGTCCGTGAACTTCACACGTGTCGGGCTGTGATTGGCTCATGTATATAAGGATTCCTACAACGCGAAATTCGTATAACGAGGAACTTATCTCCGCATTATACGGGGGTCTACTGTAATTATAAAATAATATAGGGTAACAATTAAGTGAACCAAATTGAATTGACATGACACTGAGTTGATATGTATATAAATCTAAATTTTATTATTGTATAATTATTCATTTATAGATAGTATATTTTCATATTCTATTCATAAGATGTAAAAAATTAATATACAGTAATAATATAAAACTGCATCAAACTGTTTGAACCAGTTGACCAATTACTTAATTGCTCAATGGGTTCAAACACTGATGCAGGAGAATTCCAAAACCAAATCGTGTCATGAGTATGTGAATTGCTTTTGGTCCTTATGTTACAATATAAGACTATGAGCACTAATTTTTGGCTCTATGGAGGACTTATCACACACTATTGATGTAGTTAGAGTAATCACACAGAGTTTGGTAAACACAGGTTTATTATGATTTGGTCAAGTTGTCTGTCCCTCTTCAGCCATATTTGTTACAATTTGGTGGATATACAGGTGTCTACAAAAATACAAGTGGTTTTTTTGTTACAAACATATTGGGCTTTGGATTAAAATAGTACAAAATTACATTTTATGCACACATAAAAGGAATATATTTTACACGATGTAATACAAGATGTAATAAAGATATTTTTAATGAACGGTTACAACAAAAGCACACTCAACAAATGGCTAAATATCAAAGGTACTAAAAAACACAAACACAAAAACAATAACACCACTCAAAAATATTTTAAAATTCCATATGAACAAAACTTATTTGAAAGAATCAAATCCGTATCACATAATTATGGTATAACCTTAGCACCAGAAAAGTTTCCTTGTTTAAATTACAAGATAAACCCACATAGTACTAATAATAATACTAATATATGGGACCAAAAAAACGTAATTTACAAACTCAGCTGTAACTGCACTAATCCAAAGTCTTATATAGGTGAAACTGGTAGAAATCTGAAGACCCGATTTAAAGAACACATAGCCGCGATTAAATATAATAATTGTAACTCAGCTGTTGCTGTTCATTGTAACAAAGAAGGTTGTCAAATCTTAAAAGAAACTGTAAAAATTGTCAAAAAAGAATTATATACGCAGAAAAAGAGGTGGTATGAACATCTTGAGATCCTTAAAAACAAAGACAGTGTAATGAATAATAATATTGGCCAAAAACTACATGAAACTTGGTATCCATACTTGACCAAAAGAAACCCAGAAGGGGGTGTCAATAGTGCTTAATTAATGTGTTAAAATATGGCACCCAGCAGGGCACCCATATGTCTCACTTTCCCTTCCTCCTCCACTCTTCTACAATTCCCTAACCCCTCAAAACACCTGTTTTTTTCGATCCCCCTTCCCTTATGTCCACCCCACCCACTACCTCTCTCCTCCTTCTCAAGGGGATGCCTTCCTAATGCATCCTCTCCCACTTACAATTTATGGACCGGGATGGTCCATAAATTGTAACTGGGAGAGGATCCTATGAAACTCTACTGTAAACTAAAACAATCTGTTTCTGTTCCCTCCTTTCTGTTTCTGTTAACTCAACATTGTGTCATGCTTACTGGGATGTTTTTTCCAACACTATGTACCAGGCCGTCATGTTTGCTATAAGTTCAAAACATTTTTTTACATCTACGTTAATTGTTCCCTTTTTGTAAATCTTTTCCATTTTAATCATTATTGTAGCTTATACCTGTTAAGCAATAATCACCACCCATATTTTTTCTAATGTCACAACTCCTGCATTTCTCATAGTCCACGTAAGTCTCATGTAAGTTCTTTTACAATTTTGTAACATTTTAGTAAATTTTTTACTAACTTGTACACGTTATTCTAATTTTCCCTGTATAGTTGTAACAAAAGAGTTGAAAAGGGATATAATTATCCGAAATGCATTCTCAAATAAATGATAAGTGTTTCTAAAGTTTGTTTTCCGTTTCATTGATGGTGTAATAAGTCTAGTGAAAAAGAAAAGCCGTCTTAGCGCTCGTATATTTGTACACAAGACTAGACAAGAAGTATATCGCATAATTCAAGGAATATATTTTGTTGCTGATGCATGGATGATGTCATCGGGATTTTTCACATATGATATATTATGGTTACAATACAAATAGCAACCAGAGGTTATAATTATTGCTAAAGAAACATATTGTGAAGTAAATACTATGGAAAGTGAATGTAATACAAAGCTATAAACAAGATAACAGTTAAAAAAAATAGGAGCTGTATTAAGGAAGGTTACATATGTTTAAGTAGACAGTCAGGTTGTACAAACAATGTTCTCTACTACAGAAGTAATGCAACTATATGGTGGTATCCAGAGTTGGTGAAATGAGAATTACCTGCTAGGTAATGGGTACCAGATGTTTAGACTCCATCTGACACCCTCACTTACCCATTATTCAGCATGTAATTCTTATATCACCAAATCCAGATACCACCCTATAGTTGCATCACTTTTGTACAACCTGATTGTCTACTTAAACATGTGTGAGGGACGAACAGACCCTTAATAAAGTGTTATTTTAAATTTTAATTATTAAAACATTTCATCATATAAAAACGAGCGTTAGGCTAAAAGCCATAAAAATTTATTTCCCACAGAGTTGGTTCCTTGTTGAAGAGGATCCAGCTAGTCAGCGATGTGTCACCCGGAACTTTCGATAGAGTGCCCATATTGGACGCCAGACCCTTAAAAACAACCACCTGACCTCATGGAAAAAACCCAAGAGGAATAACAAGAAAAAACACCCGAGGTCAGTCGTCTTCCAATGCCCGTCCACAAAAGTCGTCCTCAAGGATTAACACTGTGTCCAAGAATCCAGAATTCAACCCGTGACCAAGATCGTGCCTTTTTAAAGATATCATTCCCATTTCCGTGCCGTCACATCGTAGTGCTCCTGTTAACGGACAAGATCCGGAATCATTCTATCGAACATTCCATCGGCATCAACAGTGTCATCTGTCCACAGATCTTCGACCCAAAAGAAAAGTATTTATCAACCTGCAATTCGTTTGTAAACTCTCTCTCTCGAACGGCTTAGTATCATTAGGGTAAACTTTAGGCATGCCTGATATCGAATATATCTGTATTTTCTTTACTACTTATTAAAATTGTTATTTATTTGTTACTATGGAGTCCGAGTGAGTCACTTCCTCATCTCTCTCCTCACCTCTACTCTGAATCCCATCACTCACCAGCGTGACGTAATGTCGTGATTTCCAAGTCCTCAGAGACTGTGGTGTCAGATTCAGGTCTCCTGACGTGGTGTCAAAGAGACACCGACCCTACGGTCACATATGTAATCTTCCTTAATACAGCTCCTATTTTTTTAACTGTTATCTTGTTTATAGCTTTGTATTATGTTCACTTTCCATAGTATTTACTTCACAACATGTTTCTTTAGCACTAATTAAAATTCTTAAATTATTATTTTTGTGAAAAATTAGCTCAACTAATACAAGTGTTTATAAGTATGATCTCAAACTTTTTATTATTTATCAAATAAGATTTATTTACCACTCAAAGTATATCCCTCTGCATCCAGAATACAAATGTTTCTAAAGAATATTTTATTTTTTAAAACTTGTTCATACTTTATATAAATGACAGAAAAGAATTTGATCTACTGAAAGTATTCATGTAGAGCACGGGTTGCAAACTGGCAGCCTGCAGGCTGGATAAAGCCTGTTAACGCTTCNATCCAGAATACAAATGTTTCTAAAGAATATTTTATTTTTTAAAACTTGTTCATACTTTATATAAATGACAGAAAAGAATTTGATCTACTGAAAGTATTCATGTAGAGCACGGGTTGCAAACTGGCAGCCTGCAGGCTGGATAAAGCCTGTTAACGCTTCACATCTGGCCCACAGCCTTAATTTCTTTTCTAAAAATCAATATTTCTAACATCTTGCAGGGATTAAAACAGAATAAATTCAAACATCTAACTGTTTATATGAATCATAAAGGCCTGGGAACAATAGGACTGTGGCGAACGCCGCCTTTCACATCTGTATCCTTAACGGTTGTAAAAGACAAGCAATTACCCCCGGGCATATGAGTCACCACTTCCTGGAATAAATTCGAACTCACTACACAAAGACGGTCGAAAAACCAGTTGTCCTTTGTTAGCCGCGTCGTCGAGACATGTGCTGTACCTAGTACGCGAGAAGAACAATAAAAGTTTAGTTTTGTTACGATCTCGTCTCGTTCGTTTCTTCCACTCACAGCGACTAAGGATAAAAGCAACCACCACGCCAAAACCACAGGACCTTTGTTATAGCTGCTTTTTTTTTTTTTTTTAATTACAGTATGTTTTTGGTTTACCAAGTAAAATTGAATACAGCTTGCATCTGATATACATCTATATATATTTCTATATACATCTATATACATTTGATTGACCCTTTGTTGCATTTGAGATCCCCATGTAGAGTGAGATTTGAATCTGAGACAAGAGATTTTCTCTTAATTTTCAAATAATTTCTGTTCAGGTCTATCTGAAACAAATGCACATTTTTCAAAGGAAAAAAATCATGCACTTGTTCCAGTTTTAACACTAAATTTTGTCACCTTTATGCACTTGCATCAATATTTAATAAAATCAGTTTGCCAAGACTGCATGTGGAAATGGGTTTTGGCTGTTTACTTCTATTTAGAAAAAATTAAAATAAAAAAAACTGCAAATATATTTATTCTTAACCTATTCAGTTCCTCCTCAGTCTATTATGTGATACTCTATGTACTCATAATGGCAGAGTGTCTAACTTAAAGATCTATCCAGGGACAAGAAAGATCTTTCTAGCATTGCATGAGTGTATGCTTATTTCAATGCTAAAATAACCAAAGGGAACAGTTTATTTGTATGTTATGCTAAATCATCGTAATCTCTGTCCATAAATGATAGACATTATAGAAATTGATGCAAAAAATGAGCTTTTATGTTGTTAGAGAACACATTCAAAATGACTGCCTTTTGTTGCAATACAAAGATCTAGATCAGTGGTTCTTAACCAGGCCCAAGGACTCCAATGAGTCCATGAGCTTGAAGGATAAAAATCAACTTCTTAATTTTGTGTAAAATTGTAAATTACTGTATTAAGAAGTGAAAATATTACTATATCATAATTTATTTTAATTAATGTATTTATATAACTGATTTCTTTTGTACTTTTATTTTATATATTTAAAAACATTATTCCAAGAAGGGGTCTGAGACTTTCATCTAAGAGAAAAGGGGATCTGGGGATCCATGAAACAATGAAGGTTAAGAATTCCTGATCTAGATAGTCAAGCATGGTATTTTGGACGACAAGTAGCATTTGTTTCACAGATCTGTTATATGCATTCTCCAGTTTTCCAACACATGCAGCACTGCTTGGTATGCATCATACATCCATCAATGTTTTTAGATGACCCAGAGGGTGGTCAAGTCTGAGGATAATGGTGACCATAGAACAGGACCAGGACTATGTTGTCCTATCCAACAGTTATCAAACTACCCTGTGAGCTAAGACATATTTCTGTCCAGGAATGAGGTGACATACCATTGTGCTGAAGTTATGCCAATGGTGAGTCATTAAATTGTGATAACACCATGTGATTTCCAGCCGTGCAGGCAACTGCAACCGTGACAGCTGTTCTCATTAACTAGTAAACCCCCTTTGAAAACTGGCACAACTGCAACTAGAAACAAAAAGTTTGTTCTACTCTTGCTGATTGCAAACATGCATCCAATCAGCAAATGTCTATTTGCCATGTCATACAGTGTCAACATTGAAAATACTGTAGTTAGAAAATAATGGCAGAAAGCATGATGATGGATAGTTTAACAGAATCAAGATTAATCAAGCTAATTCAGTCTCATGAATGCCTGTGGGATTTTAATTCTTCGTTTTATTGAAGAAAGGATAAGAGTGCAGGCATGGCGTGAGATAAGTGAGTCTCAGCATTGATTGTAAGTACTATCTTTAGATTTCTAGATATAAAATGTTGATTATTTTTAGTTTGGTAAAGACAATATTGTTTTAAATAGAGCTAAACTCATGAAAGAAAGCTAAAACAAGCTACCGTAATTTTATTAGTTTATTTTAGGGTCACATGTTTCTGAGTTGCAATGCCAATGAACAATGTATGACCATAAGATGCACACCCCTCGCACTTATTACAGTTGCAGTTGCAACTGGAAATTGCATGGTGTGACCATGGCTATAGTCCACTGTTGTGTTTAGAATATTTTGATATTGGTCACTATTCAGAGTTCGGTCTGATATTCAATGAATATCAGACTCCAACCACAAATTCTACACCAGACATTTGGGATAAAATATACTTGATACTCAAGTATGTTGCATACATCATAGACATACACCGCCCAATAGTGCACATCGTGATAGTTATACCCTCCATTATGAGAAAATGTCTTGTCAGTCCATAAAATGTGCTGAGATTTGTGTAGTCGTGCTGTAAATTTATTACTGCACTGCACCACTGAAATCATTACAATTCTTAAATTCTGCATGTTGTGCTAGTTGCAGATGGCAGCAGAATAGATGCATATCATGGTGATGTAATAATGTAATATCTGGTATTTTTGTATCTACTACAGTTCATAAGACAACCAATGCTAGAAATATTGCTTGGAAAAATGCATATTTAATTCTTTCAAAAAAAAAAAACAAAATTTGAATACATGGAATAATTATTAAGTGAATTTATTTTAAATTACAATTGAATTTACATATTTACAGTTCATAAATAAGATATATCAAAATGTAGTCAACACCTATTTAAAAAAAAAAAGATAAAATCATAAAATTGATTTTTGATAGTTTAAATGAAAAATAACATCATAAATTTAAAATTTGTAAAATCAATTTCTAAGATGAAAATTCTACATGTGTAATATTTTAAAATTGAAAATTTTCTAAATTTGATATTTTTTTAATAAGATATTTGAGGAAGTTTTTAAAACAAAATTGGGATTTCAACTTAAACATCAATGTTTTCAGCACTTGGTTTTAAAGTCCAATGCTTGCAGTTACAATCAGCAAAAATGTTGGAAGTTTGTCTATTGTGGTACAGTTTCCCAAAATTTTTGTTACAGAAAATGAGTAAAAAAATATTTCAAATATCAAGACAGAAATACAAACAGAAAGATCTTTTTATTCTTTCTTTATACAATAAAAACAACATTTTAAGTAAATTAATGTTTCTTTGCTTGTTTTACAATTGATTCATATTTTGACTTGCTACTGTACCATAACAAAAATGGTATTCCTAGTGATGGTAGAGTCATAACTGCAAATGCTGCCCAATCCATCTACAAAAACAAATTGACATTTAAAAACTTAAAAACAGGAAAAATGTTAAAGAAGAAATTTAATGTATACCACATGAGGAGAAAATCTTCTATCAAAATCTCTTAAAGGAATAATGTCTCCTTCACCAGGATCTGTTGTATAACCAATCTATCACAAAAAAGAGAGATAGTTAATTCCTTTTAAATATATTTGATTAATATTAGTTAAAATTAATTTTAAATTTGTATTTATTCATAATTGTAAAAGTATTAAGCTTTACAATCTGATGTTAAAAAATATTACACTACCACAAAACCAAAGTGATAGCATAGTTAAAACACAAGCAAAGAAAATAGTTGAGTTTGAAATGAATAACATGATAATTGGAATCTTAAAACATATATATTCATCATTTTGATGCAATTTGTGCAACTGATGCTAAACATCAATGTTGTTTTTTTTTTTTTTACTGTTTGCTCTGTGGGCACTAATAGGGCCTTTTTAACAAGCCCATTATGGATTTAACCAGATGCAAATGAGGAGGCTGGATGATGAGGGATAGGACTCAACATATCTCAGACCACCCCCTGAAAAATTCTTGGGATTTTTTGACCTGTCCTGATTCAATCCTAGGTCTCCAGAGCATAGGCCAGGCATGCATGCCCAAACTGCCACATAAGGAAAAATAATTTAGCACATGATAACATATCATACAATTGTGAGGCTCCGGAAGTAGGTCGAAATTCGTGCAAGATAATGTTTTAATTTCGTATAAAAGAAAAAGTGTTTTTTTTTATTATAATAATATATATTGTAAAAAGAAACCGTCTAACGCAAGGTGAATATATTATGTCCATATATAGTCATATCTGTAGAAATTTCTGAGAAAAAACGAATTTCTCAGAAAGAAACAATAGATGAATTTGAGTACTTAGATCGAACATCTTTGATAGGAATCAAATTGTCAGACGGGGGGACTCACACCGCAATCTGGGCTCCGATCCCGTCACAATTAGAGAACGGGGGCAGGGCAGATCGACATCGCCCTATCGGAATGTTTGATCTGGGACTCAGAAAAACTTATAAAAATCGCGCAAAAATAGGATGTGACGTTCTTGGTTTGTAGTTCTTGGCCTTTGGTTCGCAGTGCTCCTCTCCAGGATTCTTGTCATCCGAACATTCTCCCACGAGAACTTATCGGATATTCGGAGGACTTGTCTTCACCCTCTCGTGCCATCAAGATCGCTAAAGTCCACCTGTAGATAGAAGACCTCGGTCCAAATAAGGTTGTGCAGCCCAGAGTCGACATCTTCACGCCATCATCGCCGGAAGAAAAACTATCGTCAGAACAGTTTAACTTTTTGTATTACAAACTTGTTGCTCGACTTTGGATAGGCGTTACTCCATTATAAGGATTTGTTGTAAGAAACATTTTTATATTTATTAAACGGTATACGATGGAGGACTTGTCTCAGTAAGTTTTTTCACTCCCACATGACAGTGCTGACCGCTCGACTGTCACGACACTTTTTCCCCAATCGGCAAACCTCGCACAATTTTGATCTTATCTGTTTTTGTTTTTCCAATCAGCTTTTTTATATTTATTCTAATTAAAGCATATTCATTTAATTTCTTTGAATATCATTATTCGAAGTCTGAAACTTTGGCACACAAACATCTTTAAAGCTATGTATAGGTTAGTGAGCTGAAGATTATAACCTATGCCAGGGATGGAAAACCTTTTTAACTACTTGGCCATCTAGCCATTACAACAATATTATCAATGTTGTTTAGAAAATAAATAAAGTAATGAACACTAAATATATATAAAAAACAGCAACTGGAAAGAATGCAATTATCTAGAATTTTCACATACAGTGGTACCTCAGGATACGAAACTAATCCATTCCGAAACTGAGATGTATCATGAAAATGTCGTAAGGTGAATCATTTTTTCCCATACAATTACACGTAAAACCAAATAATTCGTTCCAACACAAAAAACGCACTCAAGCTAAGTAGTACATTAAAAAAAAAAAAAACTATAGTAAGGAAAACACTGAAAAATGTGTTCTGTAATTGTAAATGTATAAATAACCATAATAGAATAATAACTTTACTTTTGAGGATAGACGACGGTGGATGTGTAAACTAGTGGCAGAGGGGGGAGAAGGGAAATGATACTAAAACTTAACTTACATAACATAATGTAACAATAACTTAACACTAATTTTTTAATGTTATTTTTATTTTTTCTGTTTTATATATATTTTTTTAAAATATTTTATTCACTGCTTTTTGCTTTCTTTCCTTCACTTCCACTGGATACAGGTCACTTAGTAAAATATCTATCCAAAGAGGTTTGGCTTTGCCTACTTTTTAAAATGTTTCTAAAATGACTTAGACAAATGTCATTACTCTGAACAGCAATACAGTCAGTGTGAACCTTTTTGGGATGTTTCTTTTCAATAAAATCAGTCACTTTCTGATAATACCTCAAGATTTCCTTTATCGAGCGAGATCCTTCCACGATGAAGCAAACACGCGAACTGAGACCGATGAACAGAAGTGAATAAAAAACAGCACTGCGAACTAATGTAACATCGTATAGTGAGTTTTTGTTCGTATCGTGAAGCAAAAATATGCTGGAATTTCATGACGTATCCTGAAAATTTCGTATGCTGGGGCGTTTGTATCCTGAGGTACCACTGTATTTTGACTATCACTTTTAGAAATTAAATTTTCAAACAGCTTTTTGTTTAAATGGACTCATTTAAACAAAAAGCTGTTTGAAAATTGTATATATAGTTATATAAATTTTCAATACAAGTTAATTCAGTTTTACTAAATATAAAATAATATATAGTCAAAGTAAATTATAGAATATTTNTTTTAAATTGCCAAAAAATTCTAAATATAAAATAATATATAGTCAAAGTAAATTATAGAATATTTTACATCTGAATTTGCTTTAATAAAACCACTTTTAAACTGAATATTAACAACATTTGGAACATTTAATGCTTTTCATTCAATATGAAAATGAATTTTTTTTTTGTTACTGAAACAATATGATTGATGATTTAAGCTAAATGTAATTTGGAATCTTAAAAAAAGTTATAGAAACTGTTATATATTTATTTATTTATGAATTTTTTATATTTAAAACATCTTGGACATTAATTCTTTGACTTAAGTGTACATTTAAAATTAATTATTATACCTGAACTTCTTGAGCATCTTCTGAAGGTAGATATGTAACTTCTGCTGCAGTGAAATTATAATAACCATATTTCTTTGATCTGACAACAACAGTATGGGTAATGTTATTACCTCTGTTAAACAGTTAAAGAAAGTAACTTGTAATTATGTATTTTACCACAATATTAACAAATAGAAAATTATTTCTCTTAACAGTTAAATTTTAATTTTAAAACTTTAATAATATTTTGACAGTGAAGAACTGTCAAAACTTTTTATTAGACAATTTCAGTCAATAATCTTTGTTAGTTTTGGAGTGTTTTACTTTTCAATTTAATAACACACAAATAACAAAACATACATACATTACTGATATGAACTGAAGAAAAATATTTTTGGTGTCAACAGTATGCTAAAATTATTACTTTTAACTTTAATTATAGAATACTATTAATTAATTTATTATTATTTAGTAGATATAATTATGCATTATATTTTTTTATGTTTATAAAACTGTATTCTAATAAAATAATATGTTGATTTAATTATTATTGTTTTACTAAATAATTCAGAATAAAAATGAATCTTAAAAACATGTTTGCACTGTTTTCATGATATAAATTATTCAATTTGATTTACATGAGTGTTATGTTCCTGGAATGCACACTTAAAAAAAGATTCAAACAAAGTAAGACCAATTATTTTGTAATACAGTAGAGTGCCGTTTATCTGAATCAATTGGGGACTGCAGTTTTTCGGATAACCGATTATATACGAAAAAATATATTAACCTATCCCATGTTAAAATTTTTCTTCATTGCATGTCGCTTTGTGTTGAATTTTTGTCACTGTTAAGCCTAACATAAAATTTTAAAATAATAATTATGGCTATTGTATCGTTAAAAATTATTTCTTCATTTTGTACAAACAAAATAAATATATTGAAAAATAAAAAAACAAAAAATATTATATTTTGGAAGTTAATCTAGTATCAAGAACATTTGATTCAGCACGACACAGTCCTTTCAGTTGACCAACGTTCCCGTTGATCGGCTTTTGGATAAACGACACTCTACTGTAATACACTGAAATTCAGGGACACAGTTCCACGAATACATAAGTAATCGATTTTTTTGGCTTATATTACATAAATGAATTATAAAAAAGAATTCTCTTATTTCTGATNGACTACTACTGACCAGTGCTAACAGACTACCTATTGTTTAAAAGGCCCTCTGGTGGCACAAGAAGATGGATTTTATAAAATAAAAAGCAGTTGAAACTGTCAAATTTTTATTCATAAAAATGCAAACTATTTATCGTTTTATGACAAGTAAAATTTTTTCATCACTTTCACAGCTTTTAAGTAATGCATCTTCTTCCTTCGAAGCACAAGGCCCTTCAGACAGCAAGGCATAGATGGTGGCCCACGTTGCCCATACGCCGCCCTTGGTCATAGAAATGATGTAATTTGAATATAAATTATTTATAAATAAGTATGTCAAGTTATATTTTTATTATGACGCAAAATATATTTAAGAGTTTACGACCACTATGCTGGGTGTGACATTGAAACAAAAAACGTTGTGCATTCTATCATGTACATAAACGGTATCATAATTCGCCAAGTGCAAATCAGCAAATTCGTAAAATTTTTGTTTATTTTGAACAATCTGGATAATCGAGGTTCTACTGTATTTTAATTTTTATATGTATAATTAAAATTTATTTATTACTGAAACTTATAAGATTACATTATTTCAAAGTAGCATCATATTATATGCTAATTTTAAACAATCTTATCTAACTGTGTAAATCACAACTATGCTATATTTTTGAAACTTATAACTGTTAAACAATATAGCTTTAAACTTTAAAAACTTTTTTATAAGGTTTTTAAATTTTCTTTTCTACATTTGTTATTCATGTGAGGTCAAATTTTCTTTCCAACATCCTTGTTTTTGTTGCTTTAAACTGTGTACTTTAATTAGTTATTAAATGCTAAATTAATCAAAATTACTTTCTTTATGCATAAATTGTTGAAAAAATAAAATATTAAGAAATTGGATCAAGTTCTGTTTTTATTTATTGATTTTTATTGTTATTCTTTAATTTTGTTTTTGAAATTTTATTCAGAATTTTTATTTAATAACTCAGTCAGAAAATTTAAAATATTTCAAGTAATGTAGTATTAATAAAATTTTTATAAAATATACTTTATAAGAAAATATGTTAATATTGAAAAAAACAATAGTAATATTGAAAATACATTTTTAAGTAGTGAAATCCAAATGTATTAACAACAATTAAGTATATTTGTGTGGCATTTTAAAAAATAAAACAAGGAAAAATTTAAATAATAATAATAATGTTATTTAAATAAATGAATAATAAAGAAAAAACTACGAGAATTCATCTTAAATTATTATTATAACATTATAAATATTATGTAAAAAAAGAGCACTTATATTTTAATTCATTATTTTTAATTCTTTGTGCATTTTACTCATTGTTATTTATAATAACTATATTAATCTAGACAAAAGTAAAAAATTAGCCAAAAATGTTTATTTTTATCTTTGTTTATCATTAAAATCTTTAGAACTTGGCACTATCTCTTAAAGTTGTAATGAAAAATAAAAGTAGATGTAAATTAAGGCAATCAAAAACTTTTTAATAAGCAAGAAACATTTTCAGACTATTTTACAGTTCAGTTTTGACTCAGACTTTTTGGAATCAAAAGTCAGCCATGTGTGAAGTTTAACTCTGATTTTCAGTTCGAACAAAGCTGGACTGCAAAATAGTCTAAAAACGTTTTTTGCTTATTAAAAAGTTTTTGATTGCCTTAATTTACATCTACTTTTATTTTTCATTACAACTTTATTTAATCTAATGTTTTAGAATTTGGACAGTACAGTGTGGAAAAGAAAGTCACTTAGCACCCCCGCTACAGAATACAGAATGTATTCAAAATTAATTTACTCATGTCAGGAACAGATTAGACTAAGGGGGAAACAGATTGATGTGTGTTACACACATGGCCACCATCTTGAATGCAACTCCGAAACTGTTGTAGATGGAAAGGAAGTCATGTGACACATCGTTTAGAGTCAGAATTTCACAAGAAATTGATTGCTGAAAGATTTTTATTGACTTACCTTGAATGGTTACAGAGTTATGCATGTTACATGATGTATTCAATGTACAGTACATTCTATATTCTGTAACAGGGATGTTAAGTGACTTTCTTTCCCACCCTGTATTTATTAGATAAAACTTATATTCATTAAATATTTTTACTACATTAAAAATAAATTACCTTTGTCATGAATTACATTATATAGATCTAGATTAGATAATTGCATTATTAAAAATTATTCCTACAATTTTATTAAAACAGATAAATAGTTAACTATATCAATGGATAGATGATTAAAAAAAAAACAGGATACGGTCCAAGTCTGTCTAATCTCATTTTTAACATTCCATTAATTACTTTGAAATCATCTTCTGGAAATCCTGCATCAACCAGATGTATGTCAAGAGCAGCACTAAAGTAACAAAAAATATACAAATTAAATAAACTTATTAATTTAATTTTAATTGATTATCTGATTAAAAAGAGACATATCAGTATTTTTTTAAAGAAAATAAGTAGAAAAAACTGTTAAAATTTGATATAATAAATAAAAATACAACTTTTTTACAAAGAAAAATTCTTTGTTTCAGTCATTTTTTTTGTTGTTTACACCATCAGCAGTTCATTAAAAAACACAAATACTCACGGAGATGACCTTCCTTTTTAGGCTACTGCCTCCGTAGTTAAAATGCAAAGAATGATAAAAGCATCCTCTGGTGTTCTTGCCACAATCACATGATACATTTTAAGTAAAAATAATAAGTTTACATGGCTAACGATTATTTAATATTAATATAATAAATAAAACTTTAAAATTTAATGTAAAAATAAATAATTGTATTTTTTTTCAATCAAATCTATACAATAAGTGACAGCCAACTTTAAGAGGCTAAATATACAAAGTCAATGCCAATGAGATATGATTGAAAGAATTTTAGATAAGATTCGATCATCAATATAAGAATTATCATTCAGCATGATAAAAAAATATCAGTTTACTCTGTAAATGCAGTATGTAGGTGGTTAAATTTCTATCATATCAGCAAAATTTGTTACTAAGATGAAGATAAGAAAAAATCAAAATCACTTTATTAGTGTTAAAAATCAAAAGTAATAACTCATCCAAATGTTTTTAATATGTATAAATATGTCACCTTCAGGAAACAATTTTAAAACAAATAATGAAATATTCCCAGAAACAAATAATTGCAATTTAAACTCTCATATACTGTGTAAAATCAAAACAACAATACAGTAGAACATCGTTTATCCGAATCAATTGGGGACTGGGGTTGTTCGGATAACTTATTTTTTGGATAACCGATTATGTACGAAAAAATATATTAACCTATGCCGTGTTGAAATTTTTCTCCGTTGCATGTCGCTTTGCATTGAATTTTTGTCGATGTTAAGCCTAACATAAACTTTTTAAAATAATAATAGTGGCTATTGTATCGTTAAAAGTGATTTCTTTATGTTTTACAAACGAAATAAATACATTGAAAAATATAAAAACAAATAAAAATTATACTTTAGGCCGACTGGAATTCTTTCGGATAAACGACGCTCTACTGTACTTTTATAAAATATAAACAAATTAAAAGTATATAACGATGAAATTTACAATAGCCAAGAACCTCAATTATATTTATGTTAAGAAATTACATAAGATCAATATTCTGGCTGAAAATACAAGGATGATTGTTGGGGTTGTGTTTTGTTATTAATAGTGACTCTCAAAAACACCTACCTTGTATTGAAAATTTGTTTTTAAGAAAACTACATCACTCCAGTATATTACATATCCACCTATTGTATATTTCACAAGTTTCATACGCGTCTGATGCTTAATAAATTTATTAGAACATCAAAATTCTATTTTGTTTAGAGATTATACCTGTATATTGTTGCAGTGAATTGTCTGAGAGATGCAAGATTGGTATAGGATGTTCCAATATACACCCAAATGTTCCAATAAAGAATGAGGGATTCTACCCATAACTAATAACCATCTCAAATAAGAACAAGTGGCAATAGTAGAATATATTCATGACAGACTATGAAAACCATACCATGTTTTATACATTGTATAAATACTTGAAAAACATTATACTAGATGGGGAAATTAAAATTTACTCTTAAATAGTAGTATGAGGAGTTTGTGACATCCAGGGATGGGGAATTGGTGGAAAATTACATGACCCCCAAGTCCCAAGTCAGTATTTTTAAAAATAGACTCCGACTCCCATAAAAAGTGGTGTAGTAAACACTAGTATTACTACGCCACATGGCAAATTTTCACATGGCAAATTTTCCATCAAATTCCTTTATTACTTGAGTCAACTCAACTAATAAAGGAATTTGATGGAAAATTTGCCATGTGTCTTTGGAATAAAACACAATACTTGTGTTTACTACTCCACAAATATAAAACAGGACACGGTTTCAAAAAACAAATCCCATAAAAAGATTTGACTCCTAACTCTCCATCCGTGGTGACATAACAAGCCAGACTTGTTGATGCTAAGAACTATTAGACTAACTGGGCAATATATGAAACTCCAAATAAATAATGATCTTATGAATAGTGCTTATTTTATAAGACCAAAATTTGATTATTTTTCATAGCTGTATGAACAAAATTATAAGATAATGTGAAATTCTATAAAATTTTTAAGGCAAAACTTCCTGAGATTTCAAGGACTTGAATGTAAACATATCCTGAATGTCTTTCTTCAAACAGTTTTTTATTCAAGATAAGCTCTGCTTATCAATACACTAAATATGCTTCTATACTTGTTGCTGGAATGTATAAATATATCAATGTACAAATGAAATGTATCTGAGAATGTTCGTCAATATTCCAAGTTTCATGTGCATATGCATGGAAGGGCTACCACTGCCAAACACTAGATCAAGGTCACCAAACTATGGCTCGTGGGCCAGATCTGGCCCGCTGCCACTGCACTGTGCCACAAATGAGCTAAAATATTATTTATATGGAAATATCATAGATTGTAGATACACTTATTTTTTCTACATAGTAAGTTTAAGTAAAAATGCCAAAATTGGTCCAATATGGTTTCTGCATCTGACAGTAATATAATTTTTAGATAAATCAATGAAATGAAAAATTTGGCAACTTTTTGCGACTTTGGATATCAGAGCACTTTTTGTGTAAGTAGCTTCAATGAAGTTCTAAGAAAAGCGATTATGAGCTTGCTGCAGTGATCGTGTTTGTGTATTGGTAAATAAATATGTTGGTTTTCTTTATTTATTGTGTATTCAGTATACTATGTTAAACAAAATGGTTATGCGGCCTGTGCTCATCATTCAGTTATCTGGCCCACTGTGTAAAAAGTTTGGTGGGCCCTGATTACTAGATTACTGTACAAGTTGATGCTGCCCTGTTCCTTGGCCCATCCAATCACCTGACAATCTTTTTGAACTTTTTCTTTATGGGTATATCAAGAATTGTGTACAGGTAACCCCCGTATAACACGGCACTTCTATAGCACGGATTCACTCTAACACGGTTCGAGAATTGGTACCATCCCCCGTATAACACGGTACTTTTATAGCACGGATTCACTCTAACACGGTTCGAGAATTGGTACCATCCCCCGTATAACACGGTTCACTCTGACACGGTTCGAGAATTGGGTAAAACCCTCGTACAACAGGAAATGTAATAAATTTTTACATACTTAAGTAATAATAGTTCACGAAAATTATAATTTTCGTGAACTATTAGTACTTAAGTATGTAAATTTTCTCTTCTCGCCTTCTGTCGATACACGTGGTCCTTCTCGAAACTTGTTTCAATGTTGCCAGATCGCGACGCTTCTGCTTCTGATGTTGCCGAATGTTTTTCCCTTATTCCATACTTGCTTTATTCTTCATAAGTGCTTAGCACCATATAAGGAAATTTATAAAGACCTTTTAACTAGAAGCAAGCAATCTAAAATTACATACATTTTGCAAAAGGTAAAGCATGGATCTGAAGATAATGCAGAAAAATGCTCAGAGGATAAGGATAACTTGCCAAAAAGAAAACGCTCTCGGTTAATTAATAGTGTTTTTAGTGATGACGAAGAAAACATTGTTTAATTTATATTAATATGTATCACTTAAAAAAATTTTAATGAAGATATTTATCTTAATTATGAAAATATACTAGCATGTTTTTTAATTTTTGGAACCTAACCCTCCTTTTCGTATTAGTTCTTTGTTTCGTATAACACAGATTCGCATAACGGCAATTTTTTGGAACGTAACTACCGTGTTATACGGGGGTTACCTGTATATGTCACAAAAGTGTCAGACATGAGAGTCGTTCTGTGTACAAGAATCATGGATGCCATCAACAATGTGACTTCTAACATGCTGGCTCAGACATGGGCCAAAATTAATTACAGGCTGCATATTGTAAATGCCATGTCATGAGCACATGTGGAAATATACTAATTTAATGTAGGACATTAACTTTTACATATGAACTTTGTATTACCAACTTTCTAGTTCCAGTTGAATTAAAACCAACAGAATTCATGTAGCTTCATATAATAAAATTTTAATAATTATTTAACTGCTTTGGATAAAATTTTGTTACTTATGTTAAATGTCACTAGTTATTTATGTTAAGGATCTGATAATGAATATAAATACAAAATTATTTATCAAATTAAAAAAATTCTTTCTCCTAAAACAGATATCATGTTCATTATATTAGTTAAAAAGGATGATGATAATTCTATATAATTATAAGTAAGATTTAGTTCCTTAAGAAAACATACAATTTATAGTTTCAAAAAATAATAATATAGTAAAAAAATTATTTTATGATGTCAAAGTAACATTAAATTAACGTATGTAATAACCTGTCAAGTATGATAACATATTCTAATTACAATTAAAAGATATAAAATAACATCAAATAAGAACTGTACAGAAGTAATGAATAACACTATGCATTTTACATGTAAAGATTAACAACAGTAACATATTACAGATAATGTAGTAACGTTATCTGTAATATGTTTTAAATTAAAATTTTAGAAAGATCTTGCTGATAAAAAAAAATAACACAACTTTTTATCATTTTGTAAATTATAATAGTATCTTATGCTACAGATCCATTTTGTCTAGATAAAAAGGTAAGTAGGGTTGTAAATCATTGGAAAGCTTGTAATTATTCTTTTAAATATTTGTTTTTAATTTGTGAAAATTTTTATTTATTTTATTTAAAATACAATAATATTTAATTCATCCTCTTAAACATAATAATATTTATTTCATTCACCATCTCTCATCTAAATTAATAATTATAATTTTTAATAATTTATTAATTTAGAACCATCTAGAAGAAAAAAATTAGTCCAGAGTGGGGCTAGTTCTTTTCTTCCAGATGATTCTAAATTATTATATAAATTATTAAAAATTATAATTAATTTAGATAAGAGATGGCACCTAATACCAAATTACATAGTATCTAATCATTAATAATAGCAAACAGCCCTATTGATTAAGGCAATTTTTTGGTTGGGTAGTTAGATATACAGATTTTGTAGTAACAATTATTATATCTAGAAATTAAAAATTACAAGAAACGGTGTGATTTAATCATAATTACGATTGATTACTATTGAATTTTTAAAATCCAAACACTGCTTCTGTTAATTATACTTACTATTATATTACAGTAAATCAAATCAATAATATCTACATAAATTATTCTCTTACCTGCCACCAACATTATAAATATTATAATCAATTACTAAATCGTGGCCTTCAACAAGATAACGATTTAAAATTCTTTTGTGAACCAAAAGACGGGCTTGTGACTCTTCTTCTCCAAACACAGATATGCAAATCGCTAATATTGTCAGAAATTTCAACATCTGAAAAGAAAATTAAAAAGTTTAATTTTTTAAAATTTATCTTAAAATTTTTTATTTTATTTTATTCAGCATTTTATTTAACTTGATTAAGTTTATCATTTTTCAATTAAAATTTATGTTTTATAATAATAATAATAATACAGTCTGTCCCACTTTATTTGGGAGTTGCTTTTTTGATAAATTTCTTCCAATGTATCCAATTTGTCATCATATCTTTCCTCAATCCTCTTTCTTTCTATTCACTTCTACTATATCCCTCCATCTCATCCTTGATCTTTCTCTATTTCATTTTTCTCTAATTAACATTCCTGATTTGCCTTCCAAGCTAACTTTCATCTCTTCTCATGACATGCCCAAACTTTCATTGTATTCAATGAAAATATTTTTTATTGGACAAACTGTAAAGGAAGAGAACGCTTACAGTTTATCCAATAAAACTTTAATTTTATTTTTTTCAAAGTTTTATTGTATTTCTTCTTAATTTTGCTGGATTTCAGTTATTTTAATTGTACCTTGAGTGTACTCATTTTAGATTTGATCAGTTTTTGTAACTCCACACATCTATCTAAACATCTTCATTTCTGCAACTTCTGAAATTCTTCTACGTTAACCTTTTTGACAAGATTGTCATTTATAAAATTGTACTGCCTCATGTTCTTATCAGCATAGAGGTATGAAGGAGTACATGTAGAGAGTTGATATTTGGCACAGAGTATTAGGTGCCCAAATCATTTGCGCATAAAAAAATCCAGACTCGTAGGTAGTCAGGGGACCGAGACTCGAGTCAAAATAAAATACAAAATGGTGACCTTCTTCTACAAACAGGCAAAACAGCCACCTCACCTCACCGAAGTCAGGTAGGGGAGAGTGTCACCTGCAGTCATTCTAAGAAGTGAATTCTGACCTTAGGACTGAGGGTGCCTGCATGTGACCTTTGCCCTTTGACCTCACTTTGCTCCTAAACTCTAACGAGGAGAGACATCTTTTTACTACCTTTCGATTTGACAGCCGTGCCGATCTTGAATTTATATTATATATTGACACTGTTGTAAATATCACTCTGCCAATACACATCACTCTGCCTAAATTAAGTAAATTATCAGTTTTTTAGTAAATTTTTATTGACAGAACATTCACCGAAAATGGCTCATGGTCGAGGTAGGCAAAGTTTTAACGATCACGCCCAAAAGCAGCGATATCAAAGAAGATAGAAGAATGAGAACGAGACCTGCTTTGAGCATCAAAGTGATTCCATCTCCAAGACATAGTCTTGTCCCAAATACGGTTTTGTTGTTTTACTTGTTTAATATTAAAGTCTCAGTACCATAGGTTAAGGCTGGTTGCACAAGTATCCTGTACATTTTCCCCCTCAACTTGATTGGTATCTTCATAGCACATTTCCTTCATCATCCAGCTTGAATTTGGTCATCCACTTCTCTTTCGACTTCTCTATCCTCATCCACTATATCCAAGATATCTGAAGCTGTGCACGGTCCTTGATTCTCTCTACTTCTAGAGTTAGGTTTTGATTGTCTTCTTTCCTGTTACAGATCATGTATTCTGTCTTGCTCTTGCTAAGTTTCAGACTTTTTTCTTTCAATGCTTCATTGAAACTCTCCAGTTCATCTTGTGCTTTATTTCTTGTCTCTGAGCAGAGAACAATGACATTTGCATGTAATTGCTCCATGGTTACTGCTCTTATCTTTTTTTGTTATCGTGAGATCGGATCCGTGTGTAAACCAATTTTTCACCTTCCATCTAAACTTTCGACATATTTGAAATAAATTTGTCGCCTCCTCGTTAAAATAACATCATCAGAAAAAAAATCAAATATCTCATCAACAATGATAGAAAGTTGTAACTCTCCTCTTTAATGTAAACATTCAACCATCTAACAATGTCATTCTCATATTGCAAGACTTAAAGTTTACAATTAACATCCGATTACTTTATTCTGGTCCTGGGAACACCTTTCGACCTCCACACCTGCTAAAGTAACCTCTAGCTCTAATAACAATCCATCACATGACATTTTCCCAGGCCAAATCAATAAAAGCCCGCATCATCCCCCTTAATCAATCTCTCACAAGCCAGACGATACAAAGGAGCAATACCATCAAGCTATCTTTATTTTGTGTGGTCTATGAATCTGAGTCACAATTTCTATAAAATTGTGCACCGTCAAGAACAAGAACTGATACGAACCTCCGTAGGATTATCAAGAGGTATGATATCAAACGTGTAAACTCTCTCTCAGCCCCTTAAACTTGTATTCTAAAGATAGGAGAGCTCGAAGTTATGTTGATTTTTGTTATTTAATAAATCTTTGATTTTCTTGTTAAATGGTGCCCTTTGCTCGTTTATTGCCTATGCCTTACCAACAACCTCTCTCTCCTCCTCCTCTCGACCTGACAAAAAAGAATCCTGCCCCTTCAGGATAGAAAAAGTAAACAAGCCATCCACTGACAAGTGGGCAGTTTTCACCAAACTGTTACTGACCAAAAAGAGGTACGATCTCGTCATACCTCCGCTGTCTCACATAATTAGATCCATCACAATGTTAAGAAGAAATGGACTTAAATCCTGGTAGAGTCCTATTGTCACTTCAAAGTTGACTGTTTCTCCAGGATAGCTCCTCATTCTAGCAGACACATCATTGTACATTATCTGAATAATTTTTCATAGCATCTACTTAAAATTTCTGTTTTACAATACAATTTTTATAAATGTAAGTTGCAATCAAAATAAAGAAGTGAATGATTCAAAATTAATTATGGTGTTTGGATGTTCAAATTTAATATTTTGCAGAAAGATTAAAAGTTTATAAAAATGCTTAAAAAATTTTTAATCTACAAAAGTTTATAAACTTGCATTTTTCCTCTATCATATAGTTTTTTACTATACATCAAACATGATAATTTAATATATATAAAGCTGGGTGAAGAGATGGTTGGGTGAGTGCCATAATGGGTGATTATATGCCATAGGCACTAAAGTTGTCCCCATCAGCACCATAAGTAACCAAGGATGGTTATATCTAAATTAAAATATGTCTAGAAGTGAGGGATTAGATGGAGGTCTGGGTAGCATAACTGACAACATATCTGCATGGTAAGCAGCAGTTGAAGGTTCAAGTCCTGCTTCAGGCCAATTCTTTTTTTCCAGAATATTCTAAATGATTTAATAAATATTAATTTAATTATAATTACTGTATTAAATTTAATAGGTTACCTACCTCTAGTACCAAATTACTCAGTATTTAATAATTAATAGTAGCAGTAAAGTAGCTCCATTTAAATTGAGTAATTGTTTGATGATAATTAAAATTTGTATATTATGAAATAACAATAACTATTATTTTATTATTTTGTTAGAAATTAATATATATTTATAAAATGACAATGATTTTTTTACAAAATAAATTATTTTTTACTTTTTTATTAAGCAAATAAAGACAAGATTATAATCATTATTTGAATAAACTAATAATCAAAATTATTGTTTACCAATGGAAAGCAATAAAAATTGCACATAATCAAATGATAAAGCCAAATTAATTAACAATCTAAACTTGGCTAATTAATTATACAGATAAAAATTAATTAGTCAAATTCTAGCCTAATAGTTAATCTGGTTCTATAATTTAAACATTGCTTTCTATATATATTGAAAATTATATAACATGTTATAAACTTTAAAGAATTTAAAATTAATTAGAATTAAATTAATAATATAAAAGCTGTCATGTGTGTACATTCCCTATAACTTACAATTTTTGTCCAATCCAGATGAAATCTTGATTATATTTGTTTTATGTTCTGATGGAAATTATAGGCTATTTATTTTGCAAAAATATTAGCTGTAGAATAAACGTTTTATCAATTTCAGATTGGTGATCACACTTACACACAGTGACATCAGTGACCTCATTTAAATATAGACATCTTCCAAAACTTGATTCATTACCATAAAGCCACACCAATGGCTACAGTTGGTTTGGCTTTATGGTGTCTATATTCCAGCAATAATAATTGCCAGAATATAGACCGATATTATATGGCAGTTGGTGTGGCTTTATGACCTTGTTTAGTTTATGCTTTATGACAAAATTCCCCTTAAGTTGCATTTTTAAATATTTCGGCAAATGGCATATTTTAAACTTACTTCATTAAATTTAAAATTTAAACTTTAAAAATGATAGCTGCATTGTGTTATTTTTAAAACAAATTTTTAAAAACATCTTTTCGTAGTGACAACATGATGTTCTGTTATCCAAACGGAAATAACAATCTAACAAGCCCATTATTTAGAGAGTTTTATTTAGGAAGGAAACCTTTTAAAAGATAATAGGGTGTTTACTCAGAATGTAGTGTATAAAAAATTTTATATACAAAAACTTCAATATTTTTCTTAAATATAAAGGCCATCATCTGTTTAGGTAGGTATTTTTTAACGGAAGCAAAAAAGTANTTGTTATTACTAATATAAAAGCTGTCATGTGTGTACATTCCCTATAACTTACAATTTTTGTCCAATCCAGATGAAATCTTGATTATATTTGTTTTATGTTCTGATGGAAATTATAGGCTATTTATTTTGCAAAAATATTAGCTGTAGAATAAACGTTTTATCAATTTCAGATCGGTGATCACACTTACACACAGTGACATCAGTGACCTCATTTAAATATAGACATCTTCCAAAACTTGATTCATTACCATAAAGCCACACCAATGGCTACAGTTGGTTTGGCTTTATGGTGTCTATATTCCAGCAATAATAATTGCCAGAATATAGACCGATATTATATGGCAGTTGGTGTGGCTTTATGACCTTGTTTAGTTTATGCTTTATGACAAAATTCCCCTTAAGTTGCATTTTTAAATATTTCGGCAAATGGCATATTTTAAACTTACTTCATTAAATTTAAAATTTAAACTTTAAAAATGATAGCTGCATTGTGTTATTTTTAAAACAAATTTTTAAAAACATCTTTTCGT